GAACACGGGAACGGGAACCAAAAAAAGTTGTTCCCGCAGGTCTCTAAAACACGTACTCCCGTGCTCCAATTGTATTTCCATACTCCCATTGCACTCTCTGGACTCTGGGAGTACACCGAAGTGCAAGGAATCTGTGAGATACAATTCTTATGTGGGAGACCGTATCACAGGTACCTTTGTCAACCACTTTAAATATTCCTATTTCTTCTTGAATGGGATACTCATGTCCTCATGACCTATGCTCTGTGGGCACCCATAAGTCCCCATGGGCCATCCTATGAGGTACCCATAAGTTCTTATGACCTATTTTTTGGGAGTACCATAAGTCTTCATGGCTTATTCTATGAAGGTACTCATAAGTCACCAACGGCTATTGATGTTTGGTATTGTTAAATTTTCAAGCGCTATCTTGCGGTAGTTCTAGTTACTCTTCAAGCATTATTTCGTGGAGGGATGTTGGATACCACTAACTGTTCAAGAGATATCTAGCGTTAATCATCATAGATTTTCAAGAGCTTTTAGGTAGAAACGCAAACTGTGATAAGAACACCACTCATAAGCAAGAGGGAAATAGCAGACTCCCAGATTTCGTACTGCTATGGGATTTCTCGAGACTCCCAGAGACCCTTGGGACTTCCGCGAACTCCTGGGCTTCTAAGGATTTCATGAGATTTCTTCGAATTTCGAGGGACTTTATGGGACTGCCTGGGACTTCCCGGGATTTCCTTGGAACTCCTTTGGGTCTTCTCGCTACTTTGACATATTCCGAAGTAGTAGCATCTACATGCATCATACTGGTCTGACTGTTCAGATCAAAGGTTAAAGGTCAAAGGTTAAACACTAATGAAAAGAAACTAATGTATAAAGAGCTGCGCTCCTGTATTTTATGGGACTCTTAGGGACTCTTTGGAACTCCTTGAGATTTCTTGGGAATCCTTGGAACTTCTCGGGACTTCTAGGGACTCGTGGAGTACGGAAGTCTGCTGTTTCTCCTTGCTTATAGTACTCCCATAGGATAGCTCATGAGGACTTATGGGTACCTCCATAAGAGAGCCTGTGTGGACTTATGAATACTCCTATAAGATATATCGTACTTTCGGGATTTCAAGGATTCCCATTGTACTCTCAGGAATTCAGAATCTTGGAAATTCCCTTTTTCCCCTTGCGTTCAGCTATAAGAAAGACGAAAAAGAGGAATGCGACGTCTCATCCATTAGATACCACCCTAGTTGCTTTGTCTACTAAACAGCCTATTATTCAAGAGGAAAACGGCTGAGTTCGGATCCATCAAAAGTGCCAATCTCGTATTAAAAGCATCGGAGTTGGCTCACGAGAATCGCAACAAGACTCAGAATAACAAAATTAGGTATGGAGTATGACTTGAAGTATCGGAGTATTTGTCAGAGTATTGGAGTACGCCCGAACTATCTGAGTTTGGCGGAAATACCAAAGGGTGAACCCATTTTGAGGTGTTTACAGTTAATTACTTCGTTGCTTCTTTTCGATCATTATGATTCTCAAACATGAAACGAAGTGTGGTGGGAATTACAGCTATTGACTACTGACTTGAGACACCCATACTGCGATACTTCAATAATACTTCGATACTCCGGCTCGTATTCCAGTATTCCGATGATACTCCGATGATACTCCAGTACTCCAAGCTGAAATCCAACACAAAGAGTAAAGTTGATAATTTGAATTATACTGCTGAGACACATGATGGAAGATGGTAGATTCTCACTGAAATGTCCATTGCGAACAACACAAAGCATCTCTTAGCTGCTGGAGTACGATGCGAAGTACGATCCGAAGTACCGGAGTACCAGCTAAAGTATCGGAGTATCTGAGATCGCGGAGTACCGTTTCCCCCTTGCTATTATTCGAGGTCGTTTAAAAATGAAAACAAGGAAATCACCAGTCTTGCAATACTTTCTCAAAAAATATTCGGAATAAACTATTACGTTCGTTGTACTCCCATGTACTCTCTTTACCCCGTGAGTACTCGTAGTACGGAGGTACGTGTTTCCCCCCTTGATTCAAGGTCGTTTATAAATCAACAAAAGAAAAAAAATCAATCGTGCAATGCTTTTTCGAGATATATTTGGGGTCGATTTGTGGTACATTATTACGTTCCCTGCGTTTCCTTGTACTCCAATGTATTCCGTTGTATTCCCATGTATTCCCTGTACTCCCATGTACTCCCTTGTACTCCCATGTACTCCCATGTACTTCCTTGTACTCCCATGCATTCCCTTGTACTCCCATGTACTCCCTTGTGCTCGGAGTACGGGAGTACGTGTTTTCCCCCTTGGTAAGCTTTCATAAACGTCATTTTGATCCATCTGTTTAAAAAAACAATGATAAACAGTTATGCTTTCAATTCTAATACAGCATTCAACCGTGGATCTTTGAAAAACATCAGCATTCTATCATGTTTCTCAATGAAGTTGTACAGTCTGTATTGAAAGCAAATAAACAATCTTGTTCAATTGCCCCTTTCAGCTGTATCAACACAAAGAGTTCTAATCAATCACAAAAAAAGGAAAATGCATACTTCTAATTAGTTTACAGAATATGATAGGATGCGGCTATTGCCCCATTCTTCTGAGGGGGCTCGAGCAAGGGCGTTGGATTTGTCGAAGGGTAAGATAGTGTGCTTAAACATATTGCACTCTGAAGTGCTCTATAGTCTAATTAGTATATATGATATATTGAACTGTCTGATATGGATTCATCAAACTGAACCTTTGCCCAGCACCAGCTGTTCCAGTTTCACCCTCAACTCCATGTGAATGAGTACCCGCTTCATGTATTACTATATGAGTTGTGTCTCTCGCAATTGTGTGTGAATGTCTACCGTGATCTTCTGATATGCCACCACTCTTCAAGCCGTAAACACTGTTATTCTCGAACGGACCATCACCCGTTTTCCCTCCATGATCATGTCCCGGATCGGTATATGGATGTGTGTGGCTTCCACTAGCTAGAATAGTCAATGAGCCTTTGTTGTGTTGATGTGAAGGAAGCTGTTCAATTGATAGTTGATGTGTTTCATAGCCTCCCATTAGGCCAGGTTTTTTCGCGTTGATAATACGTATTTGCGATTCATCAACACCTAACGGAAATCGTCCGCGAAAGTCGGGCACATTGAATGTTGTTTGTCCATCTCCATTGCCATATGACACACCGATTACAGAAAATAGCCGTGCATACTCCAAACGAGGAAGCTCTTGTCCATGACAGAAGACCCAATATTGAGGTAAAGGCGAAGTGTTACCGGAATACAGTCTAATCTCACCCGTAAGTGCTGATGAATGTAAATTTGATGATGAAATCGGTTTACTTAGAGTATTTACCGTTCGAACAATTGCTCCATTTGCGCTCTCTGCAACCATCTGCTTGGCAATTATGGCTACTTGGAGTCGATCGACAATGTCAGTAAGTTTATAAACAGTGAATGATTTTAGGATAAATTTTTCACCAGACCACTCTACTTCCATTGACTGTTCAGTTAGCAAATTCTGAATTTCGGTCGCCGACAGGATTGACTTCGTTCTTGTCGACAATTGGTCCGATGACGAGTCGGACATTTGACTATTCCCACCGGCAGAAAAAATATCTACAAAGTCGAGATCAATTGAGCCCGAACTGGAGGACGATTGTGCGTGTGCCCGATTAAAATCGAAAAAACTATTAGAATAGTTGTGTCGCTCTGACTCGCCTTGATTGTAGGTGAAGAATTTGTTTATTTCTTTTGTAATCCGATCGGGGTTCAAGTCTGATGATGACCAAATCTGATCGTACAGGTTTGTATCGAGTTTTGTCTGATCAGAGGAGTCCATTCCTAATTGTAAAAATAAAAGCATTTGATCATATTCAGTTAATAAATGATCTTAGTTTACCTTGTTGTAACAATGAAATTAATTGATCTTCTAAGCCAGCTGATAACGCAGACACATTTGAATTAACATTTTCCAAGTAAATCATTTTCTTTACATTAGTAACATACCTACTTAGAAATTCTGATGCTTGCTTTCGATGAATAAACTGAACTTTTTTGCTTCCACCATCGGCGATTGTTTTGCTTAGTACACTTTTTAGTTGGGCACCAGTGATCGAAATGAGATTTGTCGCAACCTGTTTAAAACCGGCAAAGTAAAATGCTACCTCAATTTCATAATCGCCATCGATAATCTTTTCTAAAATTTCTTTGGCACGTTCGCTCGATGAACATGGAAATCGAAATGTTATCATCAGCTGATTTGGATGAACGGCTCTGTAAGGATAAACACCTTCAACAGGCAAATTGGTAGTTTGGACAACATAGGCCATTAGTGAATCAATCATCAATGGAGCAACATCCCAGAATTTCGAGTATTTAGAAATAGCGAGATCATACTTTTTCATAATTGCTCGTCTTGCTAATTCTTCAACATCGTCATTGCTCAGCATGAGCTTGATTCTGACCTCATTCTTGACTGTAAATGCCCATTCATCAGTTGAATTGCTTGTATGAAATGGTAGCATGATGGGAACAAAGTAAAAAATCCACTTTTGGGGTGTTTGGGCATTTTCATTCTCATTTGAAAGAGCACTATAGACGTAAACTTGACCGCCTTGATAATTGAAAATTGTCAAAACTTGACTATTTACAACGGCTGTGGCTAAACTTGATTTCTTCTTCAATTCTTGTGTTGTTCTATCATCATTAGTTAATTCTTCTTGCAATGTTGGCTTGTTTGCACTCGATTCCACAAGGAGACCATCAGCATTGCAAATGCATAGAAGAATGAAGATGAGTTGTTTTGTCATCATTCTTTCCTTGATTATGTCAAAAAAAATATTTACAATCAACTAAAACGAATGTCGATTATCTGCATTTTTTTCAAAGTATCGAAAAGCTAAGAGCAATTACGGCTTGTCAGTACTTATTTTTTTGAACAGTTTCGACTTTTTTATATGTTTGGTGACTAATCTCAATATTCAATATTCAGTAGCATTATGACATCTTACGCTTAGACAAACGACCTTTTCTGGCAAAACAGTCCAAATTCCAATGACTTCTTCTGTTGAAACTGTAATTGCATACCAATACTCTCATTTCTTTCACAACAAATGGATAAATACAAAGAAATAAAACTCAAAAAGTACGTGTCTGAACTTATGGTAAAAGTCTCATAAGATAAGCTCCTATCCGCTGCTCACAATAGCATAACACAAGGGAAAGTGGTTTACATTTGTGAATTTTATGTTTTACATGAATTCTTTAGCCATTATAGTGGTACCCAGTGCGAATTAAATTGTCGCTTAATATGGAATAAATATGTATTCTCAAACACTGTACATACTGGAGTTCAATAGGTTTTTCATACTCTTAACGATTAAAGTTTCCGGGCTATTATTTAAAACTATATAGCTTGAATTTCTTTCGCTCACAAGCAGAGCTTGTAATACGGTTTTATACAGTTACTTCTTCTATGCTTACTGCTCATTTTATTCTTTTATCATAACTGCTCCTCGAAGCTTACTCATGCGCATGGAATATTCAGTCTTTTTATTAGAACCGACTGCTTGTTTCCTCACTTTATTCTGTTTTATTCTTTGATATACATCGTTGTGTCATCCCGCAAATCAATTAATGCTTCTCTTCATCTCATCTTAATCTTAGCTCTTTAGTGTGAAATATCTCTGCTGAATCTTTTCGCGACAGATTTTGGGATAGGGGTAGTTGAAACAAGTTTCATCAATACATAGAAAGTATATATAAAATGAAGGTTTTTGTTTCAAAATAATTATTGCTTCGTCTTTAATCATGCTTTAATAGTTTTAAAGAGACCAGTTAAAACGGTAGTTTGTTGTTTGTTAGACTTTTAGAATTGGTATATCTGAATTTTCTGAGGATCTCTTACAAATGGATTCGTACAGGTGACGCTTGATACTCGAAGGTCATACTTTGAGTCTACTGTGTACAAACTGTCCAACTGTGCAAAGTTTTTTCGCTACAGAATAGCGTTGTTATAGTCAACCGTAACCATTATGGAAGAAAAAACGATGTCAATTATTATTATCACCACATTGTAACAAAAAATCGTGAAATAATTCAATCTAGAGGTTCCAGATATCAATCATGAACCCTTGAAACGTTTTGGAGAGTACTGCTGAAACATTTTGAGGTCTACGAAGTGATGGATTTATAGGTTTACGAGTTTGTAACGATGATAATGGGTTTTTGAAAAGGTGTGCTGCTGTTTATTAGATACTTCTTTGTTTGCTTTGAGTTTGTTATTTAGGTTTCTTTTCTACACACTAAGATAGAATATGTCGCAAATCACGACACATGCGACATTATTCTGAGAGCGTGGTTCGAACTTGACATTCAGCGCATTTTTGGGAAAAGCGTAGCATGACATTTTTTTAAATTTAATTCCATTGAATTATTCCAATTTTGAGAACTCATCATGTCAGATCTTGGGATCTGTGCAGTCTTGAGTTGACCCGATCTCGACAAGACTGCTTCAGAGTAGTCTTCTCTCGATCATCAGTCGAGATCGACATGTTCTCGAATAATAAATAATCAAGAGATTGTCTGGAAAAAATCATTTTAAAAATGTATATTTCGTATGTTCATCATATTGTTTATGTATAACTCTGTGTGCATAACAAAATGGTGAATAAATAGTTAGCAAATAGAACGCAATAAATTTATATACGACACATCTTGATCGCTATACAGTCTTACTCTCTAAAAAAAAAGGAGCTTTGCAGAGCCCTTCGAAAAGGTTCTGTAGATTTCTAAAAGACTCCAAATGTGTCCAAAGTCTCAAAAAAAGGATAAAAAATTCGACAGAACCTTTAAAAGGTTCTGCGGAGTACCCACTAGCAGAACCATCTCTTGCAGAACCTTTTTTAAGGTTCTGCAGAGGAAAAATGGGTTCTGTGAAAAAATACGAAACCTTAAGGGTTCTGTACAAAACCATTAGGGTTTCTCACGGAACGTTAATGGTTTTGGGGTGGGTGTGGG